GGAAAGTAACGGTAATCTAATTACCGTTTTTGCAATAGTAATCCCTTACTTTACTCGTTACTTGAAAAAAGTAATCAGATTACAGTAACGCATCTCTGCTGATGACAGCCAAGAGGTTAAATGCCCATCAAGCTCACTGGTCACTATTTTTTGCATAATTTAACTTCTCTATCTCCTACTGCCCAAGTTCCAGTAATGTCAAACCAAACGCCTGCTCTTCCCAATTTGGCATGGAATTCAGTGCCCCAGAGCCCGCCAACATTCTCAACACTTCCTGCAAGGTGGGCGCAGTGATCTGGGGAATTTAGGAGACTATCCAGCAGGCCCTCCAGGAGGGACCCAACCCAGGTACATTCCCGTCTGGTCGACAGTTTGTACCCGCCTCTGCATATGACACAGTGCTTCATTGGATACATACCTCCCATTTCTCCTGTCACCCCTGAGTGAGAAGAACAATATCATTACTTTGCTGTCATGGAGAGCTTATCTAATCGTGGCCCTCAGTTTACATTTCAGGTTTGGAGATTCTTCTGATTGGCATTAGGAGCCCAAGACAGCCTCAGCTCAGGATACCAACCCCAGACCAATGGACAAATGGAACGGATAAATTAGAAGCTGGAGGCCACACCAGTGTTGTTATGCAGACTGCATCAGAACCCCCACTCCCAGGTACCTACCGGGACAAAAGGTATGGGTTGCTGCTTTCCCTAAAGTCACTGATACGCAAACTTGGCCCTCACAAAGTGGAGTAAACTTAAAGTTGCCAGCTTCCTTTTATGCATCCACCCAACCTCTTATATTAAATCTGTGCACTCCAGTTTGTCTCCTCCTGTGTTTTCCCAGATCCGCCCCTGGGGAAGATCCTGGCCACTCTAACTCACCTGTTCCGCATTTTGCAAGAATCAGCAGGGCAAAACCTGCCTGTCCTCCTGTCTGCCCTGGAAATCATCTGCTCATCAGGTTTGAAAAACAGCAGAGAAGAGGGACGGGGATAAAGGGCAAAAACCAAAAACCAACAAAATAAGCAGACAAAAAAAATACATATATCAATCACCTGGATCACCTGTTGAGAAAGAAAGCAGAAGAAAACGAGAGCAATAGAATAAACAACATCACGATGATATATGGGAATATAACAGTAAATACTAAATATTAAACATTATTGTGCAGCATGCAAGATCGATAGCGCACAGTGTGCTTTGAGGTAGGAGCCAAAAAGGGTGTCGTTTTTGTGTGTGTCAGCACCTGTGTGTACACCTGTGAGCATGAACGCGCTTGTTTTTAAAAGGTTCCTTCATGTAATGATCTGCTAGAGGGTGTAGGGAGCCACAGCCCCGTCCACCAGGGCATGAAGCAGGTATGGAGGAGGTCAAAACTCCAGACATCCATAGGCCCTCAGAACACAAGAGACCAAGGAAGACCAACAGAGGGGCAGCCGCACCACTATCCCAGAAAGAGCTGATGAGAGTCCCAGATGAGGGGTCACTCAGCAGCCGCGGAGCAGAAGCCAGGGGGGGTTGCAGTGACGTGCCCGTGATGGTCTTTTGTATTCCGTGTAGTGTGCCCACCCCCAAGATCCTATATGTATGTGTTATGAGAGTGTGAGTAATGTGAGAT